TATGGAAGTTAGTTTTATAAATTTTTTTTTTTATAATTTTTATAAATTCGAATACAGAAAGTAAGGATTCTGGTGAAACACAACCGCGAATTCCGTTTTGGTAAAAGAAATTAATTTTTCCCTCCTTCCCAATAGAATTAAATCTTTTCAAGTTCGGATCATCGCAAATGAAACCAATTAAAAAAAAAAAAAAAAAAAAATTTAAGAAAGAGAGTGAGTGAGAGAGTCCAGAGGCATTTCCGCTTGACCATGTGTATAAGAATGCCGGTGTAGCGCCGGGGAACGCTTCGGGGCTAGAATAACCATCGAGTGGTTATTCAGAGTCCCTGTCTCTTTTTCTTTCATTCTTTCTTTCTTTCTCTCTTTCGCGATTATAAAGAACTGTCAAAAAAAAGAAAAGAATAAAAGAATTGTGTGTAGCCATCGTCGTTTGGCTATATATGCGTTTTGAAAAAAAAACAGAAAAAAAAACCAGTTGTACGATCGAAAGAGCCAAATGCGAATAACGTGGAGAATGAGCGCGCGTGGGCCGCACGGGTCTTGCTTCTCTTGAGTCGAATTTCTTTTTTAGCCCTTCTCTTAAACACTATATGCTTTCCTTCAGGAAAGTGACGTCATTCTGATCCAACATACGAGGTGCAACTAGAATTATGCAAATCCAATGCAAATCCGAAAAGACACGAAGTGACGCTAATCCGCGTCACAATATTGGAGGTAATTGGCCGAGAGTGACTTTCTTTTTTTCTTCTTCTATTCGAAACAAATAAATAACTGCCAATCATTCGACTATTTTTCCAACGTGGAGGCGGAAGTCGAATTTCTTTTTTTCTGTCTTTGTACCTTCGACCTGATTACGTGATGTTTGAAGGCGTTGTGTTGATGGCTCTAAAGATGTTCCTATATGATCTCTCTTTGTACTATCTCTTCTTTTTACTTTGGTCACTATAAGTTCTAATTTCTTGAACTTATTTTTATTTTTATTGTATTCTACAGCTTCGGCTATTACAAAACTTTTATCTAAAATATTTGCACTCAGTTTTTAGTTCTACCGTGACCTCTAAAGTAATTTGATCAATTTTCAAAAATAACGGAAGAGTTATTATTATTACGGATCGTAAAGGTCCGTAAATTTGCTTCAAATCCGTAAAAGTCAGTTTTTTTCAAAAAAAGATCCGTAAAGTCCGTAAAAAAAAAAAAAATTTCATCGCAGAAATTCAATTATATTCAAAAATTTTTTAAAAATTCTTCGTCAAAATTTCAATTATCTTATATAAATAATAAAATTCTTCTCTGAAATTCAATTATTTTCGCAAAAATTTTAATAAAATTCTTGACAAAATTTCAATTTTATTATTTTCAAAAATTTTCCTCAATTTAATGATTTTGAATAATATTTATTATTTTAACAGAAATTTTTCAAAAGAATTCAATTATTTACAAAAATTTTAATTAAATTATACGCAAACATTTAATTATTTTCATAAAATAATAAAAATTTCAGAATTATTAATTTTTCAATTATTTACAAATTTTGTTTATAACTTTCATAATTTAATTGTTATTTTTATAAGAAATAAAATTATTACAGGAATTCAATTATTTTTCTGAATAATAAAATTCTTTTTAGGAATTCAATTATTTTCATAAATAATAAAACTCATCGCAGAATTTCAATTATTTTTAATAGATTTGTTATCGAATTTCTCGATAAATGTAATTATTTATTAAAAATTTTATTAAGATTTGTCAAACAAATATTCAATTATTTAAAAATTTGTTGATGAAATTATCTATTTATAAGAATACAAATTTAAAGAAACATTCAAATATTCAATAAATTTTGTTATTGCAATTTCTTCAAAAATATTTTCAACATTTCAATTCAATTATTATTTTCTATAAATTATTTTCGAATCTTTCTATAAATAAACTAAAATTCTTCTTTAAACAAATTATTTTTAATAATTTTCCTCGAATTTTCGAAAAAGTTTTTTTTTGACAATTTTCAAATTCATTTGTTTAAAATTCAATTTTACCAAAAATGTCGATTATTCGTCAATTCTTCAATTAAAAATATATTAGAAAATAACAACTTTAAATTTTTTTTTTATATTCAATTAAACCTTTTGAAAAAAATTAATTTAACAGAATTGTTAGTTAACAATTTAAATTTTCAAAGATTTTATTTTTGAAACCTTTTCAGAATTCGATTACTTCTAAATAAAAAAAATTCAATTATTTCTAAAATATTCAATTACTGATAATTGAATTCTCATAAAGAATTTTATTAACTAAATTTTAAATAATTAATTGAAAATAAATGAATACATGTAAAAAATTTTATTAATTTTTAAAAATAATGGAATTCCTTCGTAGAATTTTATTATTTTTTTTTAAATTGAATTCCTGAGAAGAATATTTAATAATTTTTGAAAATAATTGAATTCTTACGACAAGAATTTTATCAATTTTTAAAAATATAATTGTTTCCCTCTTCCCTGCTAAGAATTTTATTATTCTCTGAAAATAATTGAATTCCTGTGAATAATTTTATTATTTTTTTTGCAAATAATTGAATTTCTTTTTTCTTTCTGCAAAGAATTTTATTAAAAGTTTTGAAAATAATTGAATTCTTGCGACAAATTTTATTATTTACGAAGATAATTAGAATTATTGCGGAATAATTTTATAAAAAATTTCCAAACAATTGATTTTTCTTCGCAAAAAACATTGTTTTTAAATAATTGAATTCCTTTTGGGAAATTTTATTAAATTAAATTCTCATAAAGAATATTATTAACAAATTTTTTAAATAATTCAATTCTTTGGACAAATTGTCAACAAATTTTTTAAGAATAATTACATTTTTCGAGGAATTTGATTAAAATTGTATTAAAAATAATTTTCGAAAATGTTCTTCGACAATTTTCAAAATCCATTTATTTACATTATTCAATTTTACAAAAATTTCAATTATTCGTAAATTCTTCAATTAAATATATATTGAAAAATAAAAACTTTAAATGTAAATAAATTCAATTAAACTTTAAAAAAAAATTAATTTCAAAATTCAATTATTTTTAAAAATTCACACTATATTGCTTTCAATATTCATTTATTATCTAAAATTTTAACTGAAATTTATTTTTATGAAATGAAAATCAATTTTTATTAGATAATTCTACAATTTTTTTTTTTGAAATTAAAGTGTAAGAAACATAGAATTTTGTAGTTTTTGAATTTTTTTCGTTACTAGTCCAGCAGTCACTTAAAACCTTAATTTGTTTAATTAATTAACAATTTATTTTGCATAAATAATCATTTTTTAAATTCTTGTTTGTTATTAATAGAGGCATTATTTTTGTACCTTTCTACCAAATATTATTAAATTTTATCAAAATACAAAGAAGCAATAATGAATAATGAATTTTCCAAAAAGGTACTGTAAAGTTTAATTGTTTATAACTAATTTTATAACTAAAAAATTAAAATTTTTGAAAATGCATTCCGAGAATGTTTTTGTACCACAAAAGACATAGAAATAATTTTTTTTTTTTTTTTTTTTTTTTTTTAAATTTTATAGACATAATGCAAATTTAAAAAGTTTGATTTAGGTGGCCCAGTTCAAAATTTTTTTTCCAGCTTGGCTGCCAAATAAAACCAGACCCAACATTTGTTGTCACAACAAAACAAATAAAGGAAGTTCATTTTTTTTTTTTTGGTTCTTTCGTCATAAATGTAACGTTCCATGAGAAGACTTTTTCTGTCACCACATACAGTCAGTAATAAAGTGACGAAGAATATGGTCCCAAAAAAAGAGTGGGTCAAGGCCTCAAGGACTTGTGAACCACCGCAAAAGGCAACTGTTTATCCAGGTAAATGCATCCAAGTTTCAAAGAAAGAAAAAATTGTCATCATCATCATCATCATCATCATCAGAATCATCAACGTCTGCATCGCGTTTAGTTCTGATGCAACCGAGACGCGACCTGACCCACTCTTTTGCTTCTTCTCAAGCTTTTAACACTACTGTCAGCTGTACTGACCTCGACCTTGCCAAGTGAGGAACACCGCAATAAAAACCGCCAACAAAGACTGTTTGTGTGAGTGTGTGTGTGTGTGTGCAAGGGAGAACCCAACTCTCAGATTACTCTCAAGATAACTTTTAACCGGGTCTCTTCACTGACCGCCCGTCATTCATCAAGACCACCATTCCACCCCATCTAAAACTCTTGTTTCGCATCATCACAAGGGTTGCCGGTTTGAAAGTCCCAAAATAAAAAAGAAAACACTGCGAATTCTAGCTTTTCTCGTGAATTGTTTTCTTTTTTGACAAGAAGGGGGGAGGTGAAATTAAATTAAAATTTTTTTCAACCAAGAGCAGGTAACGTTCTCTTTGTTTTTGATGATGAAAGAAATATTTAGCTTGAAACATTCGAAACGTTTTAAATGTTTTTAAACGTTTTTAATTTTTCATGAAACTCGTTACTTAGTTCGAGTTTCTTAACGTCTGATTTCGAATCTTTACTCTTCTCTTTTTGGGGGCATTCAAGAGTTAACAATTGTTTGTAATTTTTTTCTTTAATCAGTAGCAATTTTTAAGATGGATTTAAGATGGATCTTCCTTATGTTGGAAGATAGATGAATGCTGGAAGAAAAATAGGATGATTTCAACATTATGTAAAAGTGACTATACAATGCATTTAAAAATGCTTCTGTGTTTGCAGTGACAGAAGACAAAATTAATGAAAATGATGATTGTTTGCGCAATAGAGGACTCGTCTGCTATATTTTTGGGTCCTCCAGTGACATCTGTAGCACTTTTAAAGCGACAATTTAAATTTTGCAGATGCGAATAATCGGTAAGTTAAAAAACTCCTAAGGGTGAGAAGAAAACATCCCCTGCAACCCTTGCTAAGACCCATTGGGTAAAGGGGTTCTTTGGGACTTACAGATGTCTTGATGGTATGGTAGGATGCTACAAAAAATTCTTCTTGCAGTTTACCAGTTAGTTTTTGGTTTAGTTTTAGTTTTCGTCATGATAATGTTGATAATAATGATGACGATGATGATATAGACTGTATTGGTAATGATGATGATAATAATAATTATGATAAAGCTAACAATGATGATAAAGTTGACAATGATGATAATTATAATGATGATAAAACTGACAATGATCATAATTATAATGATGATAAAACTAACAACGATGATAATAATAATGATGACAACGATGATATTGACCATAATGATGGTACTGCTGATGCAGACTATACCGATAATGATGATGATAACAACAGAGATGATTTTGATGAGAATGGTACTGAAAATAATACGGGTGATGATAATAATGATAAGGATAGTGCTAAAGAAGGTAATAATATGATGATAATGATAGTGCTAAAGATGGTAATAATGATGATAATGATAGTGGTGACCGTGGTAATGATTATGATAATGATAGTGGTAACCGTGGTAATGATTATGATAATGATAGTGGTGACAGTGGTAATGATTATGATAATGATAGTACGTAACCGTGGTAATGATTATAATAATACTGTTAACGAAGAGGACAATGATAAAAATAATGATGCCGATGATGATGATGATTTTGACAGTAACGATCATAATAGTATTGCTGATAATGATAGTGCTAATAATGATACTGATTACCATAGTTGTGATGATTATAATAATACCGACAATACTGATAATGAAGAAGACAATGCTAATGATAATAATCATGATAATAATGATAAAGGATAGTCATAATGATGGTATTGACGATAATGTTAGTGATGATAACGGCGATAATATTAATGATAAAGATAACGATGGCAATGATGTTAAGATTAATGATTATCATGATGATATTGACGATAATGATAGTGATGATAACGGTGATAGTAATAATGATAAAGATAATGATGCCGATGATGATAATAACACTATTATCTTTAACGAATTTATGCCACAAAAATGTGGAGGAACTCAAAAATTGATTCACATTTTGTCATCAAATTCATGCATTTTATTATCAATTTGATACTTTCGAGAAAACTAAATGATAAGGATGGTAATGATGATGATAATGATAGTAATAAGGATACTTGGTGATAATAATGATAATAGTTGTGATAATAATAATATCAATGGTAGTAATGTTAATGATGATGATGATAATAATTATGATAATGATGATAATGATGATGATAATTGTACTGATGAGGATAATAATGATAATGGTAGTGATGATGATGGTAGTGATGGTAATGATGATGATAATGGTACTGATGATGATGATAATAATGATAATGGTAGTGATGATAATGATAATGGTAGTGATGACAATGATGATGATAATGGTACTGATGATGATGATAATAATAATCGATAGTACGGATGATGATACCAATGATACAGCTAATAATAATATCCATAACAACAATGACGAAAATAATAATGTTGTCGTTCAGAAAACAACCAATTACGCAAATTAATCGAATTCCGAAATGATTTCCAATAAATCCAATTGAATGGCAGGGGGATAGACTTTAAAAAATCATTGGTCACGCGTTTTTGAAAAGATTTGAGATGGGTCTTAGCTACCCGTTATACTAGAGTTGACGTCGAACAAAAGGAAGGCGGATCTGGCTTTAGATTTTAAGGCGATTACGAATCTCCTATTTTGACCCAAGTCGAAGGACAAGGACCGACTGACCGACCAACCGACCGGTTCATTATTAGATCTCTAAAAATGAAAAACAAAGTCGTTTCTTTTTTTTTATGGAATCTTTACCACATTGGTCTTTTATTATCAATAATAACAATTTGGATAAACATTCCCTTTAGTCACTATCATAAAATTTTCCCCTGTTGATATTACTTTTCTCTAATTTTCTGTTTTCTTTTTAAAAATTTTGTTGTTTGATATTGTAATCTCATTTTTCTTTCTCTTTTTAAGTAATGTTCTTTTTTTTGTTCTTCTTCTTGTAATTTTTGTTGCTGTTGTTCCTATTATTTGTTAGTTTTCTTAATTTTCTTTTATTAATTTCATTCTTGATTTTCATATTTTTCTTGTTATAGTTCTTTTCCTTTTTCTTTTTCTTCTTCTTCTTCTTCTTCTTCTTAATCATCATCTTTTTCTTCTTATTTTTGCTGCTGTTGTTGTTCATTTTTTTGATATTTTTCTTAATTTGCTTGGTATTTTTTCTTTTATTATTTTTATTCTTGATTAACATATTTTTCATGTTATCCTTTTTGTTCTTCTTGTTCTTATTCTTCATCATCATATTCGTCTTATTTTTGCTGCTGTAGTTCGTATTTTTTTTGTATTTATCTTAATTTTCTTGTTATTCTTTAATTTATTATTCTTATTCTTGTTTTTCATATTTTTCTTGTACGTCTTCTTCTTGTTCTTGTTCTTTTTATTTTTGCTACTGTTGTTCGTATTTTTATTGTATTTTTCTTAATTTTCTTGTTATTCTTTCTTTTATTATTTTTATTCTTGATTTTAATATTTTTCTTATTTTTCTTCTTCTTCATTATTAAATTCTTCTTCTTAATCATCATCTTTTACTTCTTATTTTTGGTGCTGTTGTTGTAGTTTTTTTTGTATTTTCCTTATAATTTTCTTGTTTTTCTTTCTTTTATTATTTTTATTCTTGATTTTCATTTTTTTCTTGTTATTCTTCTTCTTTTTCTCCTTCTTGTTCTTCTGCTTCATCATCATCTTTTTCTTCTTATTTTTGCTGCTGTTGTTGTTATTTTTTTTATTTTCCTTAATATTCTTGTTATTCTTACTATTATTATTTTTCTTCTTGATTTTTATATTTTTCTTGTTCTTCTTTTTCTTCTTCTTATTTTTGCTGCTGTTGTTCTTATATTTTTTTGTTATTTTTAATAATTTTCTTGTTATTGTTTCATTTATTATTCTTATTCTTGTTTTTCTTGTTCTTCTTCTTCGTCTTCTTTTTTTGTTTTTCTTGTTCTTCTTATTCTTCTTCATCATCATCATCTTTTTCTTTATATTTTTGCTGCTGTTATTTTTTTTATTTTTTTTATTTTCTTGTTATTCTTGCTTTTATTATTTTTATTCTTGATTTTCATATTTTTCTTGTTATTCTTCTAGTTCTTCTTCTTGTTCTTCTTCTTCATCATCTTCTTCTTATTTTTACTGCTGTTCTTATGTTTTTGGAATTTTTCTTAATTTTCTTGTTATTCTTTCCTTTATTATTCTCATTCTTCTTTTTCAAATTTTTCATCTTCTTCTTCTCGTTATTTTTCTTCATCTTATTTTTCTCATTCGCCATCAAAGTTATAAATATATAAGAAAATCCTTCTCTGACAGGAAATTACCTCGTGACACGAGAATCGTTTTATTTTTTTGTGTCCATCGTGTATTTGTAATATATTATATGTATAGAGAATCTATTTATCAGTAGTGACATCAGTTTGTCATAGAGTGTGCAAGAGTATATAAAAAAAAGAAGAAAAAAAGAAAAAAACCGGCGCAGAACATTCTCACATATGCAACTCTCTCGCTCTTGACAAAGAATAGTTATAGTTGCACATAGACACATATATACAGACAAAAAAAAATAAAAAACAAAAAAAACAAACCGACATAATAAAAAAAAAGGAAAAGAAAAATCACGTGTCTCTTCAAGATGGTTGACGTCATATATATATTCTTTTTAAACTCGTTGTGGACAACTTGTATAGGCTTTTCTTCGTCCTTGGACTCACGACTAACATTTATTGTAAAAGCACACATGAAAATTACACAAGACATAATTCCTAGCTAATATATATATATATTTATACACACAAACAACGTAAAGCGCAAAAGGTGTTTAAAAATTAACTGCCACAATTATCTCATTCTTCGGTAATAGCATATCATCAAGTTCAAATTTCCAACAATTTTTATTGGAATTTCAAAATGCAGCCATTATCTAAACTATTTAACAGACACACGTAAGTACAATGTATAAATATGTTATGATCAATTAATTTTTTTTTTTTAATTTCTCAATACACAACTTGGAAAGATTCACCTTTAAATTTGATTCAAATAAACGATTACCTGTCTATTTGGATTTTAGAAACAAATATTTATTGTTAAATGAAATATTAAATTAATTTAATTAAATATTTCTTCAAATGACCAAATTTGGTCATTTGAAGAATTATTTAATTAAATTAATTTAATATATCATTTAACAATTTACCTAACTCAACCAAATCTTTATTTTAATCAAAAAAAAAAAAAAAAAAAAAAAAAAAAAAAATACCAAGAAAGACAAAAAAATGGGCAAAAAATAGATTATGTGAATAAGACGACTGAAAAAGGCTGTGTACCTATGCGTGTACCTATTATATATATGGCACTCGACAAGCCATTCACTTAGTCCCTATGAATGAACACGAACGAATGCACGATGGTAACTTTATATACATACATAAACCTAGCAATTATGTTATTGTTACTACAAAGAGAAGAAGCCACGGCAGAAAAAAAAACATCAAGAAATTGAAAAATAAAAATTAAAAATAAAATTTAGGTAAAAAAAAAATTTAAGTCAATATTGATGAATTTTTTAATTTTCTCGAAAAATGTAATTCTTCTTGATGAAATTTTCTTAAAATTCGTCGAAAAAATTCGATTATTTAAAAATTTGTTGATAAAATTCTTTATGAGAATTCAATTTTCAAAAAAAATTCATTTATTTAATAATTTTTTCATTTTTGTATTTAAATAATTGAATTCTCATAGAATTTTCTAAAAAAAATTGTCTTAAAAATGAATTTCAGATAAAAAATTATAAAATAATTGATAATAGTTCATTTATTTTTTTCGAAGAATTTTAATAAAAATTTTTTAAATTAATTACATTTTTCGAAGAATTTACGTCTAAAATTTTATTAAAAAGAATTGAAATTCTGAGAAGAAATTAAATTATTGCAACGAATTTTATTAAATTTCTTTTAAATAATTGAAATCCTGTGAAGAATTTTATTATTTAATAAAATAATTGAATTTTTGAGAAGAAATTTTACAATTCATAAAAATAATTGAATTTGTTTCGAAGAATTTTATTTTAATTTTTGAAAATAGTAGAATTTCATAAGAATTTAATAAGAAACTTAAATAAATAAATAAATAAATTTTTTCAAGTAATTTTATTAAAAATTTTGTAAATGATGATTTCTTTAAAGGAATTTCATAAAAAAATAATTGAATTCCTCCGAAACATTTTCTTATTTATGAAAATAATTGAATTCCTTTGAAGAATTTTATTATTTTAAAAAAATTTTTTTACTCTCGCGAAAAAATTTCTTATTTATGAAAATAATTGAATTTTTGCGAAGAAATTTTTCAAATTCATAAAAATAATTGAATTTGTTTCGAAAAATTTTATTTTAATTTTTGAAAATAATTGATTTTTTTGAAGTAATTTTATTAAAAATTTTAAAAATAATGATTTCTTTGAAGGAATTTCATCAAAATTGTTGAAAATAGTTGAATTTATATTAAAGTTCTTTAAAATAATTGAATTTAATTAAATATTTTAAAAAATAATTGTATTCTTTCGAGAAATTTTATTAAACTTGTATTGAAAATAATTGAATTCCTCCGAAACATTTTCTTATTTATAAAAATAATTGAATTCCTTTGAAGAATTTTATTTTAAAAAATTTTTTTACTCTCTCGAAAAATTTTCTTATATTTATGAAAATAATTGAATTTTTGCGAAGAAATTTTTCAAATTCATAAAAATAATTGAATTTGTTTCGAAAAATTTTATTTTAATATTTGAAAATAATTGGATTTTTTGAAGTAATTTTATTAAAAATTTTGAAAATAATTATTTCTTTAAAGGAATTTCATCAAAATTGTTGAAAATAGTTGAATTTATATTAAAATTCTTTAAAATAATTGAATTTAATTAAAAATTAAATAAAAATTAAATAATAAAATAAAAATTAAATTTAAAAATAATTGTATATTCTTTCGAGAAATTTTATTAAAATTGCATTCAA